CTCCTCGAAAGATTTGACATTTTCAACATCGACAAACTATTGATGAGTCTTACTGACATTCAAATTACGAAGCAGTTGAACTCATATATACGATATCGGCTCGCTTTAGTATTTTACGCAAGTACTTTTTGCTGCAGAAAACGCTAGGAAAAGTTTAGTGAACACACTTCAACTGTTGGACCTGAACCTTTCATTCATTCAACTCTCCCATAGGTGAACAATAATGAACGAAACGAAACAAGTATACAATGGGATTTTAAGAACACTCCATCGAAATGCTACTAAAACAAGTGAATGTTAACCTTCGAAATATCTCCATAATTCGATTCATTGTCACGATGCTGCATTTGGTTTGCAGTCGATTTAGCGATAATTTGTGCGATCAGCTCACTATCCGTGTCAGTTGATAAACCAACACCACTTTGTAGAATCTGCAAAAGATGCCCAGAAACATGTCATATGATCACCCATAAATATGCCAAAATTCGAACATTCAATGTGAAAACATCTCGTCCAATTATTCCTCATTGCTCAAATGAAGTTCTCGTCGAATCGGTTATCGTGAGCGCACATGATCACGGAAAAAATGGTTGGAAATTTGCAAATTTGTTTGACTTTGACTGTTTAGAAGAGTGTGAGAATAAAGAAACAAAAAACTGAACATTAACGATCGACAAGTGTCTGAATCAAAATGCGAACTTCACTGCGTTTCTCATTCGTATTCACCAATTCTCCGTTGTGAGCAATCGCTACCAAACCGACGGATGTATAAACGACAAACGGTTGTACGCAATTGATTGCGTCCTTCATACCAGCCGTTGAATAGCGATTATGACCAAGCATTGCAATTGAATCTGAATTAAGTTCACGGTTCATCTGCACAGGCTCATAACAACATCGGAAGATGCCATCCTCTCATGATGTGTTTTAATAAAATGCGGAACATACCTTTGAATTTGCTTAAATTCTCAGCATTGTAAATTTCTCGGACGAGACCGCTGCCCTTAACAATATCGAATTGATTCCTGTGAACACCATCGGTTCCAACCAAACCTGAGCTTTCAGTACCTCTGCAATAGTGATTTGAAAACATCAAAATCGTAGCTCGAGACAATCAACAGTGAGTGATCTCTGCATGAACAAGTAATGATCTACACTGACGATTCACTGAAGTCTCCAGTTGAGGTGCGTCCAATTTTTTTCAGTTATAAATGGTCAAGATTCAATTCCTTTTGTGGGATGAACAGACAAACTTCACTAGTGAGAACAACATCTCATTACGATACATTGCGAAGGCTTAAATTTTAGCATACCGATGCTGCAGGTCCATAAGACCATCGACGGCTATGCCCGCTAAGCCTTCAGCTGGACTGGCATCTTCAGCCAATATTATACCCAATATACCGCACATTTACCGGAGTGACAATGATATATTGGTTGTGCCTAGTTTGATCTCTAAAGTTATCATTTTTGCAATCATCATTAATCGTAGTTTAACGTCGATAAACGGAATCGCTATTGTGATGATGCGTAACTTCAGATGAGGTAAAATTGTGCAAATCGAAACAATGAAAATGAATATCCTCAATACAAAACTTGAGGCACACATCTGTCATGCAACAATGAAGCAACATCGTGATGTCTTATGCAGCAACTAATGATGAAAGTAATATTTAACCAAATTGTAAAGGCCAAAAATATTTCCACTTCAACATTTATACGTCAACACACAGAAGTGAGACGAACACTTTTTGCAATAGTGATTTCCTGGGAAGAGTGAACAAGTTAGATGAACAATAGCAGATAACACGAACGAACCATAAGCAGCTCTTCAGCGATTTGTCAACAGATAAGATCGACCTTACANCTGATAAGGCGTGGGTTCAGGTCATTTTATTGCAGAGATAAACGCATAAACACAAACAGTGATTAACCCTCAGCGGTTCCGCTCTCACAAGAACTTCTCTTTCAGTTGCGTACATTTGAGGATTTCGCAGAAAGTTTATCGCATTTCATCGCGAATCATGGTCATTCATTATTCACATGCTAGATTCGACTTCTTCTCAGAATTTTATTCAATATAAGCGTTTTCAATATAAGGACATTTTCATGGCAAAATTTTTTGGTGCTCTGCAGGGTCATTCAAGTGAACGTGTCATGAAAACGTTACAGGAACTTCCGTGATTATTCAGGCATGAAAACTTGTGGCTAATATTCGATAAACCTGTTTGTGAGCACTCAAAAATTAATTTATTGAGAACAAAACTATCGCACAGGAATTGTTCGCTATCCACGAATGATGTTACAGTTCATTGAAAGTGGTTTACGAACACATCGAAAACATCATTAATCATTATTAATTCTTAATAACGGTTCCTTCCACATTAGTTTAAAAAATTTTTTCACAGATCAATCAACGATAAAAACATTTGATGAAGTCGTGAACCATAATTCTCTTCCAAACGAATGAAGGTTTTTTAGTAATGCGGTGAATTGCGAGAACATGTTCAAAACTGAAGAATCCAAAAAAATTAATGAAACCAATGATACGACTTTTGGATGGGAAAAAATGAGAGAAAATGTATGATTTTGAAGCTTTGCTTAAAATT